TTTTTTTTTTTTTTTTAAGATTTGTTTATTTATTTGAGAGAGAGTTGTGGGCATGAGCAGGAGGGCCAGAGGGAGAGGAAGAGAGAATCCAAAGCAGACTCCTTGCTCAGCACAGAGCCTGACTCAGGGCTTAATCTCACGACCCTGAGATCATGACCTGAGCTGAAATCAAGAGTCGGATGGTTAAGTGAGAGAGCCACCCAGGCACCCTTCAACCTCATTTCTAATTAGCTGGATATAATCTGGATTTATATTATAATGAATTTTAGAATGAGGCTCTTTGGTTCCAACATTAGCTACATGGTGGGAAACATTTATTTATTATAAGAAACTGTAATAAGAAAATTATTCAATAGATATATTCTGACTTGTTCTCTTCTGTTTTTAATTAAAACGATATTTAGGAACAAGAGCATTATTTGTCTATTCAGCAAATACAAATTGAGTGCATTCTCTATGTCAGATCTAATAATAGGGTTAGAAAATACAATAGTGAACAGGACAGACCAGCAAGGCTCCTGTCTTGTTGAAATATATTTAGGTAGGGGAAATTGATAATAATTCAGTAAACATATAGTTAAATTAGGTAATTAAAGATAATATTTTCTGTTTGGCAGAAATGGAGCAAGAGCCACAAGATGGAGAGCCTGCTGAAATTAAGATCATCAAGGAAGCATACAAGAAGGCCTTCTTATTTGTTAATAAGGGACTGAATACAGATGAATTAGGTCAGAAGGAAGAAGCAAAGAACTACTATAAGCAAGGAATAGGACACTTGCTCAGAGGAATCAGTATATCATCGACAGAGTCTGAACACATAGGTGCTGGGTGGGAATCTGCTAGGCAGATGCAACAGAAAATGAAAGAAACGCTACAGAATGTACGTACCAGGTTGGAAATTCTGGAGAAGGGTCTTGCCACTTCTCTACGGAACGATCTTCAGGAAGTACCCAAGTTATATCCAGAATTTCCACCTAAAGACATGCCTGAAAAGTCACCAGAGCCTCAGTCCTTTAGTTCACCTCCTCAGCACACTGAAGTAAATGGAAACACTTCAACGACAAGTACAGGGTTGGTTCCTGCACCTAGTTCTTTATCCTTACCATCTCAGAGTCATCCAGCAGAAGCACCTCCTGCTTATACTCCTCAGGCTGCTGAGGGTCATTACACTGTATCCTATGGAACAGAATCTGGGGAATTTTCATCAGTTGGAGAAGACTTTTATAGGAATCATTCTCAGCCACCTCCTCTTGAGACCTTAGGGCTAGATGCAGATGAGTTGATTTTGATACCAAACGGAGTACAGATTTTTTTTGTAAATCCTGCAGGGGAGGTTAGTGCACCTTCATATCCAGGGTACCTTCGAATTGTGAGGTTCTTGGATAATTCTCTTGATACTGTTCTAAACCGTCCTCCTGGATTTCTTCAGGTAAGCCAAAGAAAAATGTAAACAATTTGAAATATGTATTGAATACATCATTTTTGTTTGTCAGTATTTATTATGTGTCCAGGACAATAAGTGCAAAAAGATTATTCTAGTTCCTTATTAATATATTCTGTGAAATTTATGAGCCTTAAATATCTATGTGTTTAATAGATTCTTTTTTTAAAGATACAAAATACTGTTTTATTTTTTTCAAAATTGTGTTTTAGTATTAAAATTGTGATGACAAGATCTGAGGGGCATCGGAGAATTTGTCCTTAAAATTTTAATTCTTTATTGAAGAAGAAACCTAATAACTTCAATTTCAAAAGGGATTTATGTAACTCATGTGGATGTGTTACTGTAGATTTCCACAGATGTTGTCAAGCCCCATCTGAGGGGTTGACCTGGGCTAGACCCAGCCCAGTATATCGAACAGTGGTTCTCAACCAGGGATGATCCCCCCCACTCTTCAACCCAAGGACATTTTGACAATGTCTGGAGACATTTTGGTTGTCACAACTGGGGGTTGGGTTGTGCTACTGCTACTGGCATATAGTAGGTAGAGGCCAGGTGGGACTGCTAAACTTCTAAACAAGATCAGTTCATCAATCAATATTATCTAACCCAAAATGTTAATCATGCAGAGGTTAAGAAACTTTGGTATAGAAGTAGAGATTGTGATAATTTAAGATGCATTTCTAACATTCCAAGCAGATAAATTTATCGGAAATGCCCTTGGCCCAAGAGTAAAGACTGGTGCTAAATAACAACTGGTGTTGTTAGGGCACTGCTGTGGAATTAATGAAATATTCTAAACGCAGTATTTTGAAGGTGATGTTGTAATAACAATCTGTTTTTAAATGATTGGACGTCAGTATAGGGAGTTGGGTTCTAGAAATGAGGACTCCATTTACACTGGGTATAACAGAGAAGTTTGCATGCATGCATGTCAGGAAGATGACTATTTGAACAAAGCAGGTCTTTTTGTCCAGAGTCCAGATGATGCTGTTGGTTTAGTTATAGCACTAGTTACCTAGATTGATTTTGTTTTTTGGTATATTCCACTTTTAATTCTTATGTAGCTTTTACATGGAATCAACTTGAAAGATGTTTAAAGGTAGTTGGAGACTTACTAAGTGTGTATGAAGGAGTTATTTGGGGGCATTGCTGAAAAAAAAAGACTATTGGATAGGAAGAATATTTTGTATTCCGTAGGTTATTTTAGGAAAGAATCCTTGAGGTAGAAAGAGTAGGCATATTGATTGGGATTGTGAAGAGGCTGATAAAAGCTGTAATATTTTCTGCTGAACTGGTAATAGAGCTGTGTTGTTAACAGTGGAATTTAAAACCTTTGGGGAGAGGGCAGTGCCTGGATGGCTCAGTTAAGTGTCAGACTTGATTTTAGTGCAGGTCACCATCTCAGGGTTGTGATATCAAGCAAGGCTCCATGTTGGGCATGGAGCCTGCTTAAGATTCTCTCTCTCCTTCTCCCTCTGTCCCCCCCCCTAAAAAAACCCATAAATAAATACATACATACATACAATAAAATACAATAAAAAATAAACCTTTGGGGCCCAGGCTACTTGAGATATGGGAAATGAATATCAGAAACACTCTACTTGATTACATGAGCTCAACCAATAAAATGACTTGTTCTGTAGTAAAAATTTATCCTGTTTGAGTGCTTTAAATAAAGTGTTTTTAATCTTTCTAGTATCTCCTATTTTTGGTTGTAAATAGTAAGTAAAATTTCACCCAAAGTTTAATTTGAGTCTCTTGAAGGGGCTCTCATTTGCATGTATTCAGATATTTGTAACAGTGACCTAAAAGGCAGTTAACTTGTGTGTACTGAATGTCTCTGTTCTGAAAAACAAACACTAAATCAGCTGAGTATTAGAAGTTAAATATAATTTTTTAAATATAACTTTTTATATTGCAAACATCACTATAGGTCTATTCATGAAATTAGAAATTTATTTGGTCTTAAGTAGGCAGGCATAGAATTCTAGGGTTTCTAAAAACTATTTTTCTCTAGGTTTTAGTTTAATAACCTTTTTAAACCTATTAAATTTGTAGTCAGTTCATTAGAACTTAGACATAAGGTTTCTCTCTGAAATTGAATCTGGGAGAAATCAGCCTGTGGTGGATAAGCCTTCCAATCTGTAATGATCTACCCTGAGAAAGGTCCATAAAGTTTCATTTCAGAAGATCTGGAGATACTCCAGTTCAATCAGGGTATCCAGAATGTAGTTAGTCTTAGAGAAATCATGACAATAAAAGAAAACTTTCCCAAATTTTAGTTATTTAAGTACAACCTTTGCAACTTTTTTTGTCAGTTTCATACTTCTGCTATTATTACTTTCTTAATATTTCAATTTAAATGTCTCATTTGTTGGGGTTCCTGGATGGCTCAGTTGGTTAAGTGTCCAATTTTGATTTTAGCCCAGGTCATGATCTCAGGGTCAAGATTCTCCCTCTCCCTCTGGCCTCTCTTAAGTAAATAGGTAGGTAGGTAGATAGGTAGGTAGATAGATAAATGTCTCATTTGTTAATTTTATCATCCCAACCAGTAACAACTGTGAAATTGAGGGACAGATGTATTTTTTCCTAATACATTGAGATACATTACTATTCAAATTTAAATAATCTGGTATATTACTTAAGGTCATTTCATATACCACTCATGGTAATATATCGTACTTTGGAAGACACAGTAATCAGTTTTATTATGACTTCTCTAAAGTTTGACTTATAAAAGATGGAGAGTGGCATTTGAGATGACTAAAAAAGAGAATCTATAAAAGAAGAATTTGAAAAGATTTGTAAGGATTTTCCAAGAAAGAAGCAGACTTAGATACTCTGATCCTTTTAGGTTTATATTCTGTTGGTCAGAGATGATGGCAGTGTACCAGATTTTTCCATTTTTTTATATGAAATTCTTTCATGCTCTTTGACTCATTTGCACAATATTTTGATAATAGATTGTTCTCCCAAGTTTCTTAATAATTAGGAAAACAGTGTGTCCTGGATGAGCAGCACAATTAGAATATTCTTTTTGGGCGCCTGGGTGGCTCAGTCATTACGCGTCTGCCTTCGGCTCAGGTCATGATCCCAGGGTCCTGGGATCCAGCCCCGCATCGGGTGCCCTGCTTCGCAGGAAGCCTACTTCTCCCTCTCCCACTCCCCCTGCTTGTGTTCCCTCTCTCACAGTGTCTTTCTCTGTCAAATAAATAAATCTTTAAAAAAAGAAAAAATATTCTTCTTGCTCAAAGAATGTAATCTCAATGGAAATGAATATATTTGGATATTATGATTTAAACTTAGTCTCTTCTGAATTTATATCTCCAGAAAGTGAGCTTAAGTCTTAGTGTATGGACAATCTGATGATATTGCAGGGCAGCTTTGTGTTGTTTTGATTGAAGTTAATAGTAGATGGTAAATCTATAAACATAATGATCTATTCTAGCTATGTCACGTCAGGTTTTCAGACTTAGTAAAAAAAAAATGAAGCAGCATTGTGAATGCTGGGTTTATTATTTTTTTTTATAAGATTTTATTATTAAGAGAGCATACTGTGGGGAGAGGGGCAGAGGGAGAGGAGAGAGAGAATTTCAAAGCGCACTCCGTTTTATCTCACGACCCTGAGATCATGACCTGAGCCAAAATCAAGTCAGATGTTTAGCCAACTCAGCCACCCAGATGCCCCTGTGAATGCTGTGTTTCTAGTTAAAGGAATTGTTTGGCTTCTCTGGTGCCAGATTGCTTGTGTCTAAATCCTAGCTCCCCTTTTTTCACAGACTCTGAGCAACTTAATTAACCTCTCTGTGCCTCTTTCTTGTATGTAAAATGACAATATCTAACTTCATGGAATTGTGAGGATTAAATCAGTAAATACATGTACTTGAAAACGGTTTGATTTTATTTCCACAAAAGCATGTCTAATTTGAATTATAAAGAAAGTCTTAATTTACTTTGTTATTTATTTAAAACTAACTCATTATTGGTTATTTGTGGGCTATTTAAGGCCACTAATTTGAAGACTGTATAGTTAGTGGAGCAATAACATTTTCAGGACAGTTCTTGTGGGTGATATATATACAAAGATTAGACTAGCAAATGGCTAATTTTTAGTGGGGATTTGTTGATGCTAATGATTTTGTAAAGCCACGTAAAATGCATTTAGAATTTTGGAATGTTTATTTTCTGGTATAACAATTCTAAAACCAGTGAAAACCTAGTTCTATTCATTGATTTTTTTTTTTTTTTCTAACTAATCCTTTCAGGTTTGTGACTGGTTGTATCCTCTAGTTCCTGATAGATCTCCAGTTCTTAAATGTACTGTGGGAGCCTACATGTTTCCTGATACCATGTTACAAGCATCAGGATGCTTTGTGGGGGTTGTCTTGTCTTCTGAATTACCAGAAGATGATAGAGAACTCTTTGAGGATTTATTAAGACAGATGTCTGACCTTCGGCTTCAGGTAACTTGTGTGATCATCTTTAGGATGAAATCTACTTTAACGTAAGCACTTACACTTTTAAAGAAATTGTAATAGGATCAAATATGATCAAAGTTAGAAAAATGAGAATATATAATTTGCTTGTGTGTTCATAAATGCTAGCTGGAAATTGACCGTAAATAGTGATTAGGATTGTGGGCTCTGGGATCAAACTACTTGGATTTGAATTTGAACTCTTGCACTTAATAGCTGTTTTACTCAAGTTATTGATCTTCTTTTTAGTTTCTTTATCATAAAATGGGAATAATATCTACTTCATTGGGCTGTGGTGAAATTAAAGGTTAATACATTAACTATCTTATATCAGTGCTGGCAAGTAGTAATGTTCTTTGAATTGTTATCACCACAGCCTTCCTGCTCAGTTGGAAAATAGCCCAATGGGACTAAATGGTGAAGTGAAGGCAATTTTGGCATTAGTGAATGGGTTATGTTGGACAATTTAGGGGCATGATTGTTGGCATTTTGAGGAAAAACATGTTTTAGTTGAGGGAATTGTCTTTTTTTCTCATGATAAATAAAGCTAAATAGAAAAAATAAAGTGCAATTTAAAATATGGTCTGTCATCCTGTGAACTTGCCTTACTAAGCCTGTTTTTTTTCTGCCCATGTGTTGATCTAGGAGTTAAAATATAGAGTATTAAAGAGAGGTGTTCTTCAGGTGTTCTTGCCCATCCTGATGTAGGACAAGGGGGGAAATATTTTTGATTGTGAATATTGACAGTTTTCTGAAGTTGAAGGAGATTGACAGCATGATAGTTTACTCTCTTATTCTCTACTTCAGTCAGTGTATATTTAGAATCCATTATTTAACTAAGTGTGTTAAATGATGTGTGGGAAGACAGAACAAGAGACTAACCATAAAGATACTATTTAACAGCTCCTATTCTCAGGCACAGGATGATGATAAGTGATGAAATAAAAGTATACACACAGTTCAGGAAGGATATCAGGGAATATTTTACAAAATAGTTTCCTTTTAGTTCAGTCTTAAAAGCTCTGTTCCTGTTTTCTCAGGAAGTAGAATACCCTTTCATTCCATACCTATATCGAAAAGATCACAGGTGACAGGAGCAGAGTAGCTAAGTGAAAGGTCAGAGTCCTCTATAGCGTTAGGTTGTATGAACCATATATGAGAATGACCTGGTGATCAACATATACTTTAGCATGGCCAATGCTAAACGTTTAAGCTATGGTAACAAAACATGTGGTACCCTTACAGCCTCAGTATGCTCATGGAGTAGTTGACAAAGGCAGAAACATGGTCAAATGGATAAGAGTTCAAATCTTAGCTTTGCTGTTAACTAGCTGAATGAAGTGACATTCTTAATTATTTCAGACCTATCATGGAGCAGTTTCTCCCTTCACCCCTACATTCATTGGACCTATATTACTGGGCTTTAGGAAAGAAAGTAAACCAACTTTTATATGTTTACTTTTTGGTTGTGCATCGTTTTTAGTTTGCTCTGTTGTCCCAGAACTCCCAACTGTAAGCAAAAGTTAGTTACTAGCTATAATTTTGACTTGTCTTTACTCTTAAGTATTCGTTCAGCAAAGTATATGTGAGCAGAATACCTTCAGTATTAAGTGCAAAAACAAACAAAACAAAATCAGTCTTGCAAAAACGCAGAGTGGTTAAGCTGGACATGAGTTTTGTTCATTGCCTTTAAACTCATTTAGTTTTACACGTGTTTCCTAAAACTTACCATTTGTTATTTAATTAAATTGAAATGTAGCTACATCTGACTTAATGATAACTTACACCAACAACTTCTGTAAGTTTATCTTTTATGCTTTGTCTTTAGAAATTTGGTTTAGTATGCTGTGAACTAAAGAACTCAAGAGGTTGAGGTTTGGTGATGAGATAAAACAAAAGTATAGAGGAAAGACAAGCAAAAGTGGTTGTATTTATAGACTCTCAAACACATCAATGTTTGAACAAGCACATTAGTAGAGCATAGCTTAGAGAAAATTCAAATTTGATCTAAGGTTTGGTCTACCCCCTAGGCCAACTGGAACCGGGCAGAAGGAGAAAATGAATTCCAAATCCCTGGAAGAGCTAGATGCTCCTCTGACCAATTGAAGGAAGCCAGTGGCACTGATGTGAGACAGTTGGGTCCTTCATTGGACCAAGACAATAAGGATGTGCGTCATAAAGGAAAAAGGGGGAAGAAAGTAAGTAAAATAAGTAAAAAAGCAATAAGGTATATGTATGTGTCCTATTCTAATGGTACTTTTCACCAGTTTCAATTATTTATAAGGTCTTATCCCTCTTTACTAAAGCAGAGCAACTTTCAGAGTCACAAAGTGATCACTGGCAAAAATAATGAGAATCAGCTTTAATATTTTCCTTTCCAGTGTTTGTTACTTAAACTGTTTTAAAACATACTCTATGTTTTGGGGGATAGCTTTTTTTGAAGTATTGGAAAGATTTTTGTACTTGCATTAATGTGTATCTTTTTGTTTTGTGTTGTGTTGTTCTCTACCTTCCTTTATACACCATGATCTTGGGGCTAGGTATGCTTTTCCTTACACTACCATTTTTATTCAGTCCCTTGTTTCTTTATGCATGGTCATCAGGAAAGAGAAAGAATTTTTTAAAAATATGTTTAGTAGTGGAGTGCCTTGGTGGCACAGTCAGTTGAACATCTGACTTTTGGTTTCAGCTCAGGTCTAGATCTTGGGGTCCTAGGATTGAGCTCCACGTCCAGCTTCACGCTCAGCACAGAGTCTGCTTGGGACTCTCTCTCCCTCTCCAACAACCCTTCCTCCCCGCACTTGAGCACTCACTCTCTAATAAATAAATCTTTAAAAAAATAGATGTTTAGGGCGCCTGGGTGGCTCAGATGGTTAAGCATCTGCCTTCGGCTCAGGTCATGATCCCAGGGTCCTGGGATCGAGTCCCGCATCGGGCTCCCTGCTCGGCGGGAAGCCTGCTTCTCCCTCTGCTTCTCTCTCTCTCTCTGTCTCTCCCTCTCTCTCTCCCTCTGTCTCTCATGAATAAATAAAAAAAATCTTTAAAAAAAAATAGATGTTTAGTAGTTTTTTATTTCTTAGATCCTGAGTATATGATATGCTCCAAGTGGTAGTAAGTTCAGTAAGTATTTAGTGCAAGAATGCTGAGCATAGTGGAAAAGTTAAATTTCTTATCTCAAGAAACTTATTGTCTAGTGGGGAGGACAGATTAGCAAAGAGCATTTCTAGCCAGTGTGATCATTAGATGAAGGTACATAGGTTATATAGTAAGCTAGATTGCACCATCTAATGTACAACCTAGCCTCATCAATAAGTATGGGCCTGTGGTGGTGTGGGAAGCAGTAAGGAAGGCTTCTGAGAGGGCATTATGGCTAAAATGAGTCCTGAAGGTGAAACAAAAGTTGGCCATACATATAGCAGATTGAAGGGGATTCTAGGCAGAAGTAGTAATATAAGCAAATATATGAAGAAAGAAAATAGCATTGTGTGAGTATTGAATTACAGTATTGTATTGTTTGTTGTTGTATACTATATTGTAAGTGCTCAATAATTATCTTAGAAGAATAGATTCATACACTTGAATATTCTACATTTAAATTTTTTTTTTAAAGATTCTATTTATTAGAGAGAGAGAGAGAGAGAGCGCGCAAGTAGGGTGGGGGCAGAGGGAGGAGGAGAAGCAGATTCCTGCCAAGCAGGGAGCCCGACATGGGGCTAGACCCCAGGACCCTGGGATCATGACCTGAGCTGAAGGCAGACACTAAACCAGCTAAGCTACCCAAGTACCCCTTGAATATTCTACATTTATTTGTGGATTATGCTGAACGTCTTAGACCAGCTTTATGGAGGACACTGGGAGTCCAAGATGGTTCCAAGAAATATATTTATTAAAAAATTTTTAAGTTAATATACAAAAAGCAAATCTAAAACAAAAGATACTTAGTGAAAAGTAAGTCTGCCTCCCATTCCTATCCCTCAGCCACCTAGCTCCCTGCTCCAGATACATTATTGCTAGCTTCTTATCCTTGCGGATATATTCAAACATATATACATACACATTTATTTTGTGTGTGAATATACACATATATACACACATTCACATAATAATACAAATGGAAGCATGGGAGACATACTGTTTTGCTCCTTTCTTTTTTACTTAATATGTTTGGAAATTTTTCACATCATTTAAAACTTCCATTTTTAAAAAATTTAATTTGTTAACTGAAAAAATCAAATTATATAAACAGGTATATACATTGATAAACTTTATTCCCACCTTTGTCCATACCATTTTCCCTGCCACAGTAGGTAATCACTTTTTATCAAGATCTTACGTTTCTTCCCTAGGTTCCTTGAGGCAGGTAAAAGCAAATAAAAACAGATTTCTCTCCCTTTCTTAAACAAAAGTTAATATCATAGAGTGTCCTGTATTTTTTTTTATTTGATAATAAATTCCAGGGATCTTTCAGTGTTAATAAATGGAGAACCCTCTCAATTCTTTTTATAGCTGCCTCGTATTTCATTGTATTCTAGGCTTTTGCTATTAGAAACCAGTGCTTCAGTGAGTAGCTTTGTAGCTCCATTTGGATGGATTTGTAGATCCATTGATTCATACATTTGCAGGTAATTCATTGGATAGACTCTTAGAAGTGGGGTTACTGAATCAGTAAATAAATGCTTTTTTGTAATTTTGATAGATTTTGTTAAGTTGCCCTCCCTAAGGACTATACTCTTTAACATTCCCACCAGCAATGTAGACCTATTTCTTCATAGCTTAGTCTACAAAGTGGGTGAACAGCCTTTCTGTATTTTGGCAGTCTGATAGATGAGAAATGATGTATTGGAATATCTTAATTTGCATTGATTTTTTTATGAGTGCTGTTGTGTATCTGCTTAAGGGTTCCTTGAATTTTGTTTCCTGTGTGATGTCTATTGTCCTTTGTCCATTTTTTATTACCGGGTCACTAGTCTTTTTCTTCTCAATTTCCAGGGGCTCCTTATATATTAGGACATTGGCTCATTATTAAAGATAGAAGTTCCTAATATTATGTTCAGTTTGTCTTTGGGTTTTATTTATGAATGGCTTCCCCTCCCCCCATAGAAGTTTTTATGTTGTTTTTAATGTTTTTTATTTTAAGTGAAGTTCTCTTCGTGTTTCTATTGGGAAGTTTGATTTTCAAGTAACTTTATAGTATTATGAGGTCTGAGTTAGCCTGCTAAGTTCTTAGAATGAATAAATTTAGCTTTGACATTTTAAGTGTTGGCCCTAGTTCTTATAACAGCTGTTTAATTAGCAAAATACAGGTATATCTGTGTCCTCATTTCCATTTGGATGGAATAGCAGATTCTTCTGTGCTTATATATTTTTACTTGCTTTTACTTGATTTCTATCAAAAGCAGTTTATTTGGATACATCCCTCCTTAATGATTGAGTCATTTAACAAATCTTTTAAATCTTACTGATTATCCTGCACATACTATCATCAAGGGGTTGATAAGTTTATGAAAGAACTCATAGTCTCATCAGTTTAAATATGATTTGATAAATGCTGTATTGGAGGTATGTTGGTATTTAAACCTTACTTACCAGGGGGACCTTATATAAGACCAGTACAGTTTTAAGCTTTATGGCAGTTGTGGTATTTTGCTTTATATTATAAAATGTACTGGTAACTATGTTGGCTGCAGTTATTTTTATTAATTATATCTAGTATTTGTTGACTTAATATTTTATTACATAATGCTTATAATTTTTCCCCATCCAAGTTTTTTATTGTTTTACATTTTGAAACATTTTTACTAGGTTAAAGACACTTCAAGTGAAGAAGTTAATCTGAGTCACATTGTACCCTATGAGCCAGTTTCAGAAGAAAAAGCAAAGGAATTACCTGAATGGAGTGAGAGAGTGGCTCAAAATATTTTGTCAGGTATTACAGTAATGTTAATCTTTTCCCTATAATGTGAAACCTTTGGAATCCATAAGAGAATACTTAGTATTTTGTATTTTGGTTTTAAATGACCATTTTATAAATACTTAAACAAAAACAGAAGGAACTAGTCTTTTAGAACATTACATATTATCGTATAGGTATAAGTTCTTCATGCCTATTTTCTGTTTCACTCTTGGGAAAATTGATAGTGAAAAGCTTTGGGAATCCCAAAACTTTCAGGATAGCTCTCTGAACATAAAATTATTTTCCTTTCCCCTTTGTAATTCCCCTTTAATCCTTTTTTCTCCCCTTCTCCCCCTTCTTCTTCCTCTAAAAAAATGGTAAGATACTCATCCCATCTTTGGAAGCAAAGTAGCACTCCCTAACCACACTGCAATGGAGGTATGAAGAGACCTGAGGATTATAGCTAAGCTGTTTGGGATGTAGGCCCTACTATTTAATTCTGTTTAGAAAGGGCATCAGATCAGTTATTTTAAAACCAGAGTGATCATTACTGACACATCTTTCTACTTTCATTGGTTAACATTTTAGCTTTTCAACTGTTACAGTTCTCATATTTAGACCTTCTATTTTGTTTTTAGAAAACATTGCCAGTCACTCTTTACTAAGCCAAATTCATGACCCTGTAAAGGGATCTTGACCAGTCATTTAAAAGACTGTCAGTACAGATTTCCATCACTGTACTAAAAACCCATTAAAATAATAAAGATGTCTAAAGCAGAGGAAACCTTCAACATGAAAAACCAGCAAGCTAAAATAAGTGGAAATTAATTAACTAGGAACTAACATCATATTTTGCCCATGTCAGAAAGCTGCTAGAGATAAGAAAAGACAAAGACAAATTTTTCAGTTACAATTTTAACAGTTAAAATTGAGCCTTGAAAAAGATTTTCAAAGATGTTCTAAAGAAAAATCTTCACTCTTACTACCCTGCCCCATAACTTTACAGATTGCTAGGCCATTAGGTCAGCACTCAGAAAACTTGCCTATATTCACACATATGTAGATAACTAAATTCAAAGGTTATTTTCTTAAGTTTTTTTTAAATTCATACTGCTCAAGATTGTTCTATTTACTATTGCTGTGTGACAAACCATCCTAAACTTACTGGTATAAAACAACACATTTGTTTATACTTAGGAGTACCGTGGGCCAGGTATTGCAGAAGGTCACAACAGGGATGGCTTGTATCTGCTTCATGATGGCAGGACCTCAGCTAGGAAGACTCAAAGGCTGACTAGTGACTCAGTAGCTGTGGGCTGGAATCATATGAAGTCTCCTTCATTCACAAATCTGGCGTCTGGGTTGGAAGAGCTCAAAATCCAGGACTGCCAAATAGAGTGCCTAGACATGGTCTCCATGTGTTTGACAGCTTAGCAACCTTAAGCTAGTCGGGCTTCTACATGGTGACTCAGGGTTCCAAGCATGAATAATAGAGCAAACAGGCAGAAGCTCCATACCCTTTCTAACATATTCTTGGAAATTTCCAGTATCACTCATCACAAGAAAATAACAAACCTCAGACTTAAGGGGATGTGACAGACCTACCCACATCTCAGTGGGAGGAATGTCAAGGTCATATTGAAAGAACATGTGGAACAGGTGATACTGTTTGGCTACCTTTGGAAAGTATTGTATGCCACTAAATCTTAGGCCTCCTAGGTACCACACAGATTCCATGTACTGGTTGTATTCAGAGAGGTAGAGTATCCTTAGAATCAGCTAATCCTGGGGACAGATCTCTTTAGAGATTTCAGAAAAACTCTCAGCAGTGCATCATTTGAAAATGAGCAAAAACTACACTGTGATAACACTTAGGGTCCTGCTTTACTACTTGACTTTAGTAACTCTTTTCTTCTCATCTTACCTCCTCAGTTCTAGCAATAGCCCTAATAGTTGGTTATGTTAAAATTATTTAACTGCCAATCAGAGTACATATTTCTTTACATGCTTTTTATTTTTTTTTACTTTTTTAAAAGATTTTATTTATTTATTTGACAGAGAAAGACACAGCGAGAGAGGGAATGTAGGCAGCGAGAGTGGGAGAGGGAGAAGCAGGCCTCCTGCTGAGCAGGGAGTCTGATGTGGGGCTCGATCCCAGGACCCTGGGATCATGACCTGAGTCGAAGGCAGACGCTCAACGACTGAGCCACCCAGGCGCCCCCTTTACGTGCTTTTTAATAGGTAGAATGAAAACCAACTAGCTCACCAAATACTTAAGGTACAAGTAACAAAGAAAGTGGCAGAAAATATCCAAGATTTACTCCAGGGAAAATGATCTGATCTGTCAAGAGACTGTTTGTACCTGACTCATGCAGGCTCTATACAAAGATAAGTAATCAGGGATCTAAATTGAGCTTATTCACTTTAACCTGTGATTGGTTCCTGTCCAGTGTCTGAAGATCAGTAAAAGCTACAGTATTGTGCTTCATGGATATAAAAGGTGAAAAAACGTGAAGTAACTGCTTAAAATTTGCCAGGGATGAATACTGGCTTGGAATATTGGCTTGGAAGGCTAGAATTACACTTTTAAGAAGGCAGATGCCAAACATTTTAGATGGAGAGTTTAGTAAGCTAATTTGGGAAGAGATAGAGGATCTGTGACAATAGACTGATTAGAGCGCCCCCCGTTGGGTTAGATTTGAGTGAGATCATTTTAAGTCATCTGGCAACTTCTCATTTATTCAGGAAACATTCATTGTCTGCTCTATCTCAGCATTAAATGGATGCATATAATACGAATATGGATAGAATAAATCTATATCTGGCACTAAACATGCCATTTAAAAGATCTTAATAGCTACCAATAAAATGTTACATTTCCTGATATTCTATTGTAATATCTTAGGTTTTAATGTATTATCTCTATTATACAGTCTTTCATGGTGATACCTTCTTTATAATTTGCATCTAGTATTTCTCTTTATCAGTCTTATGACTTTTCATTTATCTAATTTCCATTTATTCTAAGTCATCAATGGACTCTCTCCCTCTTGTTTGTTTCATTGCAGGAGTATAGTCTATTTAAGCTTTCCTTTGTTTTATTGTCTTTTATGATTTCTCAGTCTTCCTTCAAGTTCAGCCTGTTTACTTCTTAAATCTTTTCAACCTGTAAGTTAACTCTGAACCCCATATGTATATTTTTAATAGAGGTCTTCAATCCCTTTATTGTTATGGGAACTTCTGGCTGGAAGATACTTGTCTGGGTTTGATACCTGGTCCTACCCCAGGGGTCAGACAGTGGGGGTAGTGTTTGAGCTAGAGGTGGACATGTTGACTAAAACAGGAAGAGAAACACAACAGTTTTTCTTTTTTTTTTTTCCCACAACAGTTTTTCTAATCAGTTACCACTTGGCACTTTATTTTTCATTGTTAGTGTTTTTATTTATTTATTTATTTTTAAAGATTTTATTTATTTATTTGACAGAGACAGCAGGAGAGGGAACACAAGCAGGGAGAATAGGAGAGGGAGAAGCAGGCTTCTCGCTGAGTAGGGAGCCCGATTTGGGGCTCAATCCCAGGACCCTGGATCATGACCTGAGCCGAAGGCAGACGCCTAACAACTGAGCCACCCAGGCACCCCAATTGTTAGCATTTTTAAATAAACAGGATTTTCACATGATCACTGGATGCCTAGTCACTCATAGACCAAGGTAATTACGTAAAAACCATGCCACAGACCTTTGGAGAATATACTAAGGTATTTTATATGTCTAGCTTTAAAAGCTTGTTTTTTCAGGGTGTAGCCAAAAAGGAAATATTTATTTATTTATTTAAAGATTTTATTTATTTATTTGACAGAGACATAGCGAGAGCAGGAACACAAGCAGGGGGAGTGGGAGAGGGAGAAGCAGGCTTCCCGCGGAGCAGGGAGCCCGATGCGGGTCTCGATCCCAGGACCCTGGGATCATGACCTGAGCCGAAGGCAGACACGTAACGACTGAGCCACCCAGGCGCCCCATAAAGGAAATACTTAAAATTATAAGCTCTCCAAAGCAGGGTAACACTTTCTTCTTCCTCTTAGGGGAAACTATTCTCCTTGGTATTTTTTCTTTTCCCATCTCCTTCCCACTTCTCCTTTCCTCACGTGGGCACAGGGCCTTTTCACTAGAGAAGTCTATGCTATCCTGCTTCCTCTCTTGACAGTTTCATTTTTCATGCATGCTGTAAGAAGCATTGAGCAAAGCAAAGGGCTGGGAACTACTCTCATGAGAAATGGCTAAACCATGTAGGCTTCCCAGTGTTCTTCTTAGATCTTTTCTTCTCATGTATTTTTTGAGTATTCTTCTGTCTTTGTCATTCAGGTTTATGTTATAAACTAAAAGGTGCTGAGATCATGGGATTTGGGTTTGGGATTGAGGGAGGAACAGGACCCCCTGCCTTACCCCTTTTGTTTAAAGCAAGCAAGCAAGAGTTCTGCCTTGGTGTTTGAGATCTAGACTTACTGGATTCCAATTCACATTATTTGTGTCTAAACCCCTCAGTACTTTATAGAGTAAAAGTGGTACCTGGACTAAGGTGAGAACAAGGATACCTGAGTCCTTAAGCCAAATACTGTGTTATTGGAACCAAAACCCAAAATTAGTCCCTAACAATAGTGATATGTGGTAAGTAACATGTAGAAGATACCTACAAGTTGTAGTAGCAGCATAGGGTAATACAGAACTATGTTACTGAGTGATCTGTGACCTAAGTACTGAAAGATGAATTTGCTTAGAAAAAGTGTATTCTAGGCAGAAAATTGTAATTGTAAAGTTGGCTTGAAAGTTTATGGTATGTTTGGGATCTAAACATTAAATTCCTTGGTTTTTTTCCTTTTGATTTATTAAAGGGTTTATAGGTATAATCAGCTCTAATATTGTGCACTTTTAAATTTTCCTCTAAAAAGGTGCTTCCTGGGTGAGCTGGGGTTTGGTCAAAGGTGCTGAATTTACCGGCAAAGCAATCCAGAAAGGTGCTTCTAAACTCCGTGAACGGATTCAACCAGAAGAAAAACCAGTGGAAGTTAGTCCAGCTGTGACCAGGGGACTTTATATAGCGAAGCAGGCTACAGGAGGAGCAGCGAAAGTCAGTCAATTCCTGGGTAAAGTAACTTTGGAGGACTTTACATTCAGTTAAATTAAAAATGATCTCTCAATTCAGGTTAATCTAAATGTTCATTTAGATGGTTTAACCTTAAGAGTAAAGGATTAGGACAAAGCAGGGTCACCTTGCTACTCATAGTGGGATCTATAGCAACATCAGCCTGAGAGCCTTAGAAATATATCAGGTACTTGGTACACATTACTGATTCAGAAACAAGATCCCTAGGTGATTGTTATTTGCATATTAGTTTGAGAAACATTGGTTAAAAGGTTATTTTGATGTGTCAGGGGAGTGTCTGTGCCTTTGAAAAGGAATGGCTCTGAATGTATTTGCTATCCTTGAATATGACACATTCTTCTAAGGACAGCTCACTGCTTAGTAGTTGGGATCAAGTGGGAGGGATGTATTGTTTGAATTAAGCTGATTCAGTGATTCTGGTGTCAGCCTTCCCAAGTAATATGCTTCTAATTCCTTCTCCTTTGAGAATCATAGATCTAAAGTTTGGTATTTTAAGATGGCCAGATCACTCCTTAATGAATTTTCATTAGATTTTTAGTAAGATTATCTTTTGGTATTCATTATTCTTTGAATCAGATTTTGGTTTGTTTACTTTTATATAGACTTAAATACTTTATAACTATGTCAGTGGAATATTTGTCAGTATGGAGAAAACGTAGAAATACACATAGCTGGAAAACATGAAAGATGGACCTACAAGTCTTGCATTATAGCAGTCTTGGTTTTCTTTTAAGCAAATTGCCAAAAAGAACATTATATTTAAGAGGCAAGGTTTTAATCATTAGGTTCTGCAAACATATCTTCAAACCAAATAGTAGCCTTTGTTTAAAAACTAGCCAACCGTGGTTCTCATCCTTATATAGAAATGCTAAATTATGCAATAAAAGAACTTTAGATGCTCATGTAAGAATTTTGCTAAGTGTAAGAGTGGTAAAATCAAGGGAAGAATACATTTTTTCTAAGTGTTTCCCTTTTTTATGGTTATATTAGTTGACGGAGTTTGCACTGTAGCAAATTGTGTTGGAAAGGAACTAGCTCCACATGTCAAAAAGCATGGAAGCAAACTTGTTCCAGAATCTCTTAAAAAAGACAGAAATGGGAAGTCTCCCTTGGATGGTGCTATGGTTGTAGCAGCAAGTAGCGTTCAAGGTAACAGACCCATGAATTTAACTAGGAAGGTCCATTTGTTTAGCTGTAGTTTTACTTACTTTTAAATATATTTGCAGGATTTTCAACTGTCTGGCAGGGATTGGAATGTGCAGCCAAATGTATTGTTAACAATGTTTCAGCAGAAACTGTACAAACTGTCAAATACAAGTAAGTTGAGTTTTATCATTTTAATGACTAAATCTCTTAAAACATTTGCAAAAATTCAGGACAGTTAAAATGATTGTGTCATTAATGAGTATCTGATGAAACAAATTTTTTTTACTCTGTTTTTCTTAATAATATTTTAAGCAAATTAATAGAATTACTGTGACTTTGCCTTATATTACTAATGGTTATATTTGTTCATCATTAATGCAAAGAATAAGTTTAATGAAAAAGCCTGTAGTTTCTGAATACCTTATTAACTGCATGTTCTTGATGGGTGATGTTTGCTGGTAGTTTTGATGGGAAAAACTTGTACTATAATTAATCTATTTTACTTTGTTAACATTAGCCCCTTCTGTATACAAAGAATGTTAAATATTGTCACATCTTATTTGACTCTGCCATTGTTCATTCATATTGGAATGAACAGATGGTATGTCATCTATTTCATATATTAAGAAGTAGGCAAACATAGAAATGAGTGATCTGCCCAAGCTAATCTGATAACTATTAAAGGTGAGACTTAGGATCATCTGATTTTAGCTCTTTATTCTTTATAAGTCCTAGAGGAATCTAGGTCTAAAATTAAATCTAGTATGAAGGACCCGAGTTTGAATTAGTTTAAAGCCTAATATTAAATTTTTATTTAGAAACCAAAAAGTAATATTAATGGTATTCTCAACTCTCAGTTATTTGTATTAATTATCTACTCACAACATTTGAGTTCATACTTATGTATCAGACATTGTGTTCAGTGCTTTTCAATATATGTATTTAATCTTTAACACTATTTCTTTTTTCGAAGGGGGGGAGAGAGAGAGAGAGAGAATCTTCAGCAGGCTTCATGCCCAGCACAGAGCCCAATGTGGGGCTCCATCTCACAACCCTGAGATCATGACCCCAGCCAAAATCAAGAGTCAGATGCTTAACTGACTGAGCTATCCACTTTGGTGGATCAGTCGTAATTAGAAAAATAGTTTTTTCTTTTGAAGCCCAAGCATAGAGCTGTTAAATACCTTGTTAAAGGTATTTAAGTGGTGGAGCTGGGATGTAAGCCAGGTCTTTTTGTGTCATGCAGTGTGAAAGAACAGTTACTGGACCAACCCTGTCCTTGATGAGACATCTATGCAAGTTTAGTATCTAGAGTTAGAAACCACTATCTATCATGCATTTACATTCCCTGCCCTATAGTAAATTACCTGTGGCTTAGGAAAAACTAACTTAATTTCCAGTCTGAGTTGATTTGATCTCCATCTGGGGCATGCATACCTTTTGAGTCAAAGCAACATAACATCTTGGAGTGTCAATTTGACCAAAAGATTTGGCAAAGAAGATACAGAATAGATCTGAAATTCTTTTGGTGGAAATATAAAAACCAAGTCTTCCAGCTTCCTACCTCTTGGTACTTAAAGCCTTGATCTGTAATATACTCTTTGTGTTGTGGCTGTGAGGTTACTTTGGTGGATTAGTCGTAATTAGAAAAACAGTTTTTTCTTTTGTTGCAGGAGCCCAAAAAAGTCAGAAGTGCCTTTTAGGCCAAAAGTGAATTATTTTTAGATTATCAGTATCATTTGTTAGCAGAAATAAGTAGGCAGTCATGTTAGAAAGTAGTAAATGCTTCCAGTGGCTTTGCCCATTTCCTACTTTAGTGAAAAAAAAAATGCTTATCTTAAGTACAATTAAGTAGAGCTTTATTAAAGGTTTGGAATTCACATAACTAGCAAGGTTTTGGTGTAGATTTTATATTTTTGGTCCTTAGTGAGGAGATCTTAATATGGTGAAAAGGACATTTTAACAGTGGTTCTGAGCTAATTTATTTTAATTATGGTATGTATTGCTGTTCTCTTTATCCTTTACTCCAAAGATTCATGGAGTGAAAAAACAGGTGAGAATTTAGTTAAGTAGGTTTGTATTTCTAACTATAAAGCTACTTTGGTCTTAGCAGTCATTTAATTAGAACCTTGGAAAGATGTGAGGGGCAGTGGGGATGTTAAAGGGTTTTGTAATATTGTTTCCTCACTTATGAATAATCTGGCCCAGAAGTAGAAATTGTCTTTTAAAAGAAGAAACTGTAAGTATTAAAACCAGTAATAACTTAATGATATTGTCACTGAAGAAATGGAAGAGCTAGTTATTTCATTTTAGTTCTCATTTATTTACATAAATTTACATTTATGAATGTAAATGTAATAAATTTATATTTTTATATTTATGAATTTACATTTGTTTACACTTTGAAAAAGTATTTGATATAGGGTAAGCATTTGTGTTTTTCTCCTCTAATCCAACTGATGATAGTATAATAAAATTTGTATTCTTATTGCCTATGATATTTTCCCAAGTTGTTTTGAATCTGCCTAATTATATGCATTATGCCTAGGAGAAAAACAAATGTATTATATATACTTCCTTATCTGATTTCTGGTGTTACAAGCCAATGCAGAAGATTATCTTTTCATTTAGGCATATTTAAATGCAGATTGTGTTAGAGAAGTATATTGTTTATACCTTTCATGGTTTTGATTATGATTCCAGATTATGTTCCTTGATTGTTAATGGTTTATCTAAGGATCTATGTAATTCTTAAAATATTTAGGTAAATATGTAGGAACTATTCATTAAGACTGTTTTTGTCAGTTACATTAATGCTTTTGTCTTACTCTAAGTTTAGGAACATGAGACCTACAGGAACAATAAAAATAACAACTTCTTATCTGCTATATGGTATCTACTAAATAATTCATCACTTACTACATAGCTTCAATTTCACCTTTAAGCTCCTCTTTTTTTTCCCATTTGAAATTGTTTAGAGGATGGGATGCCTGGCTGGCTCAGTCAGAAGAGGGTATGACTCTTGATCTTGTGGTCCTATATTTGAGTCCCACACTGGGTATAGAGATTATTAAAAAAAAAAAAAAAAATTGCTTAGAGGAAAATCATATAAATTTAGTAAGTTAGATCCTTTTTTGTTGTCCCCTCATTAAAATTTTATCTTGTTCTAAGATACAATGTGTTCTACATTTTTCTGAAGAATAAACTTAGTACAATTGTTTTTCTATAAGGAATTTACCTTTTTAAGGTACAGTATTTTATTGGTTTGTTTCGTGAATTTTAATTAAAATTCGCCCTTAAATTTGCACCAGGTGAAGGGGCAAATTCAAATTCATTGAAGGTAATTCTTTTGGCAGATGTCATATTACCCAAAACCAGTTCTATATAGCATCTATTCAGGAGCTATATAAGATCAGTCTTCTCTTTTCCATATGGTTACTATACAAGTATTTAAACATTATCATCATGTCCTTCACTTACTTTTTCTTATCTTCTAAATACTCCCAGTTCCTTTAACAATTCCATCTATAGTATGGCTTCCAGATCCTTCACACAGACCTGGAAAAGAAAAGCCCTAAGAGAAACCTGCTCAACCAAGACTTATGCTCAACTCTTCCAGTGCTGAAACTGCTACCACCTCTTTCTTCTCATTTAACCTTAGCCATTGCCACTTGATGATAGTATTTGTGGGGGCTTGATTGACAGAAGCTTCCATGTCTTCTGCAAAATCAGCAAATGCTATGGAATGCTGAGGGGTTGCAAAGCAACAGGGACTGGCAGACGGCAGTTAAGGAAGGTTTGATGTTTGGTAACTGGTGAGAAAGCCCCAATCAAGAGTGGTATAGGGATGCCTGGGTGGCTCAGTTGGTTAAGCGTCTGACCCTTGATTTTGGCTCAGGTCATGATCTTAGGGTCCTGGAATTGAGCCCTGTGTCTGGCTCTGCACTCAGTGAGGAGTCTGCTTCAGGATTCTCTCTCTCCCTTTCTGTCTGCCCCTTCCCCAAATCACACATGCTTTCTCTCTCTCAAATAAATAATAAATCTTTTTTTAAAGAGTGGTATAGATGTACGGTTTGACAAATTGTAGGTTCTGTCATCCTCTGGTTCTAATTATTAACATTAGGCACAGAACAGAATGGAATCCTCATTCAGGAACATAAGATTCACACTTCTAGCACTGAGATTGGAAAAACAAAAAACAAGCATGAACAAGCTAGTAGGATCACAGTCCACTGTTCCTGGCCAGACTAATGGTGATAGAGGACTTGTGAATTCAAAGAACAGATCCAGTATTAGTATAAAATGTCCAGATACAGGTCACAAAGCACCTAGGAAATTTCAGTGTGGCCTGGATAAATTGTAAAATGTTGCCTTTTTGTTTGTTGTTTAAGTTAATGCTTGCTAAGCAAGAAAAAACCTGGTGCTTTTAAAAGGATGGTAAAGAGAAAAAGCAGTGAGATAATTTTTAGTATCTTTGTATAGGCCTTTAACTTGTATTTTCTTATAGAAATGGTATTAAACACAGATATTGGTAATTGTCAATAATAACTACCTTTGTGTATAGTGCTTTTATAATTTCCCACTTTGCTATACGTTTGATGCTATAGAAACTGGTGGATTAGGGCAGGAATTAATCATTTTATTCATTCAACAAATATTAAATGTTAGGCAGTGTTCTCAGTGCGTAGGATACATTAATGAACATGGCAGTCCTTTTTCTAATAGGGTTTATATTCTAGCAAGACAATAAGCAAAGCAAAAAAATGGGAGTTAATAAGTTCTATAGTATGTAGCAGGTGATGAGTTATAGAATAAGAAAGAGCAGCTTATGGATGGATTGATGGGTAGTGGGGTGGAGCATGTGGAGTAAGGCAGTTGAAATAGGTGAAATAGTAAGAAGATAATAATTAGCTGATTTGAAGAAGGTGAGGCAGTGAGATGTGAATACCTGGGGTGAGAATAGTTTAGGTGGATACCATCCAGTACAAATGTCTTAAGGTGGCACATGTGTGTTTGATGGGTTCAAAGAACATAAGGCCAGTGAGTCTGCGGCAGAGTGGAGTGAGGGAGGAAGTGTTGTAGAATCTTTCTTAAAGACAACCCCAGATTCTGATACTTTAAAAGGCCTAGCCTAGGTGGCTTAGTTGGTTAAGCATCTGACTCTTGATTTCGGGTCAGATCATGATCTCAGGGTCGTGAGATCAAGCCCCCTGTTGGGCTCTGCCCTGGGCATGGAGCCTGCTTAAGATTCTCTCTCTCCCTCTCCTTCTGCTCCTCACCTCTCTTATCCCACCCCTGTTCCCTCTTTAAAAAATAAATAAAACAAATAAGACCTAACCAAAGTCTAGTTAAGATAGAACTCAAAACCATTTATAGTTACTATAGATTCTTTGTGTGCTATGGTTGCTTCATTGAAAATTCTCTATTTCCAGAAGGGGTGGGTTAAAAACAGGGAAATAATGACTGATGAACAATCTTTATTATAATTTACATTTTATTCTTCAATATAAACAGTCTTTATTACATTAATCTCAGGTAGCCTGAGTTTATTTTCACAGTTTTTGCTAAAGGAGAAATACAGCCTTGGCACAGTTTGATTTTATTCTTTACTGTGTTTTAAGTTATTAATTAAATTGAAACATAACCTTTTATTTTGCTTTCAGGAATAACATACTAAACATGGGACTTATTTAATACTAAATCAGAAGATCTTAATTTGTATTTATAATTTAATTACACTTTTTTCTAATCTTTTAAAGGTATGGGCATACTGCAGGAGAAGCTACACATGATGCAGTAGATTCTGCCATCAATGTTGGTGTAACTGCCTATAATATCGACAACATTGGTATCAAAGCAATGGTGAAGAAAACTGCAAAAGAAACAGGACAAACACTCCTTGAAGACTATAAAATAATTGATAATTCTAAGGGGAGAAATAAAGAAGGAAGAGCAAATGTAAACATGAAAAGGGAGAAGGGTGAGCAGACAAAGGAACTAGAGAAGAGTGAGGCAAAGAAGAAAGAGAAATGATGGAAGTGCTGTGAATCACCTATACCAAAGCCTTACAAGGTGGATGTATTTTTGTTAAATAGGCAAATGTGGAATTCCCCACAGATTAACCAGTGTTTTAAAAATGTATTCATTCCTATGAAGTGACTGTTTCATAAACTTTATGGCATGTATTCTACTTACAAGGAAAAGAATCAGTATTCTTGCATCTGGCCTTTCGAAATATAGGGTTATATTCTCATTAAGTTTATTTTTTCTAAATGTGGCTAAAATATTTTTGCAGTTAAAATAAGACTAATAATACATGTGCTATAAACCTCATTAAACCTAATGTTAAACTATTTTTGTATTTGCTGTCTTTCAAAAAGCAAGGTAGGAAATTATATATTTACATAAAATTTGGCATTTAGTAACCTTAGCTCTAGTACTTGGAAGAATGACTTAAAGTACTGTCTGCTGGCTTTGCACTAATTGTGGATTTTTTTTTTCTAGGTGCTTGTCAGAATTTCAGTGTGTAAGCTAAAAACAACTGTACTCCTAAACTAAAAGAATTCTCAGATAACATTTAAAAGACTTTTTCAATACAGGAAATAAGCTAATCATGAAAAATAAGATGAGGTTCTATAAAATTACTTGGTAGCTTATCTCTTTGTTAGGAAGGGGGATGGTCTTTCTGATTTAGAATGAATACAAAGAGATTTTTAAGTCTTCTGGATTTAGACTGGTATTGATCTACTAGGAGCCTAGGAGATTTTGGTGTATGATTGATACTGCGTTAAAATTTGAAGTGATTATCATCACCTTAATTGACAGAAAAGTACTTTAAGAAATCATTTTACCATATCTACTTCTTTAAATTATTCCAGGAGGCTAAATTTTTGTAAAAAAAAGAAACAATTTTTTGGATGGTAAATATATTTTTATTTTGGGATTTAGTCATTGGAATTGTATAAATTATTAGGAAGAAAAGCTTCTATTTATAATCATGGTAAAGAATGTGAAGGCTTTAGGCTTAAGGTGAGGTATAATAGTTTCCACTCTGGCAGAAGATAGGACATTCACAGACCTATAAGGTACAAATACATAAGTAAATAATGGCATTTTATTTTTGTTTACTGATTATAAATGATATTCTGAACCTTTAATGGCTAGTTTATTAAACTTTATTTGAAACTGTCTTAAAAATACCCTTTATGAATAAACTAGTTCTGAATTACTTGGCCTCAAATGTATACACAGGATTGTGTTTTGGGAACACCTAGAATTAATGGATCCTTTCCCTAAGGCTAAGGATAATGTAGAGATAAAATTGAATTGGTAAATAGCTTCCAGTTAATCTCTGCCTTAAGTTTGAGAAGTGGAATCACAAGTAGTGGACCCTAAAGTTTACAAAGTTAACTTAGAGCAGAGGTCCACAAAATTGGATTTGTCAAAATTGGATTTGTATTTAGTTGTCCATTTCACTTCCTTCTGCTCTGCTCACTTGGTTATGGGTTGCTTTTTTAGATTAATAGACACAATCTTTATAAGTATAGCTTCTATATTAGAGTGTTCTAGAGAAACAGAACCATTAGGAGAGATAAATATACATGTGTGCACGTATGTGTGTATAAAGAGATTTAGTACAAGGAATTGACTCACGAAATTATGGAGGCTGAGAATTCCCAAGATAACCAGTGAGCTGGAGACCCAGGAGAGCTGATGTGTTGTTTTAGTCCAGTCTGAAGGTCCAAGAACCAGGTGAGCAGATGGTGTTAAAGTTCCAATCTGAAAACCTGCAAGGTCCAGACCCAAGAAGAGCCCATTTCAGTCTAAGTATAAAGGCTAGAAAAGACCAATATACCAACTAAAACAGGTAGGAGGAGTTCCATCTTACACTTTTTGTGTACACAAATCTTCAGTTGATTGGATGAAGTCCACTGCCTTTGGGAGGGCAATCAGCTTTACTAGGTGTACTGATTAAAATGTTAGTATCATCTAGAAACACCTCACAGACACATCCAAAATAATAGTTGGCCAAGGGTGTTTATACCTTGTAGCCCAGTCAAACTAAAAAAATTAACCATCACAGCTGCTTGGTCCAGTTTTCATTGTATAGAGGCCTTTTACCAAGCTCTGCTTGGTTGGCTCTTTGATACTCAGTAGATTCAGTGTATAAAACAGTTCTCAATATTTACTGCTACCAGGGTTTTGCCTCATTTTGCCTGTACAGACTGTCCCTCCCTCATGCTGTATGGGATAGTTTCCTGGGAGTACTTCCAGGCACCAGCTGTCTAGAAATAATGATAGCTAATGTTTATGTAGTGCTCTCTGTGAAGCATTAGTGTTCTGAGTGCTCTTATGTAGATTAATTCATTTTAACTTCGTAACATTCTATGAGTTACATACTATTATAACCTTGATTTTACAGAATAGGAAACAGATACAGAGAGGTTAAAGAGAGGTTATTGTTCCCTTGGATCTTTCCTAACATCAAAGAGGACAGTGTGAAAGAAGTCATATACTAGCCTCAAAAAAGGAGGGACCTACACAGTAGAGTGATTGTTAGGCCAGACATTTTTCTTAAACAGAGGTAAAGAAGGACAAATGGCGTTTATAGATCTCCTGTGCTTCCAGCTGCTTAACGCTAGTTTTGTTTTATTACCATTCCACTGGCTTGATAGTTGGTAGAAAATTGTCCAAGATGTGGCAAATAGGTCATCAGTCCTAGATTTTGGTGATAGTGTGAGCTTTTGTCTTTTTCTCCAATAACTGTGAAAGGTATTTGAGCACAAGCAAAGAAAAGCGAAGCTTAGGGCTTGTTAGCCAGAAATAATTTTATATTTCACTTTTTAGGTAAGCCTGAATAAAGCTCTGCTCAAACAAGAAACTAGTTCTCTGATCTGTTCTGGCCAAACTCAAGTTTAAGCAAACTTCCTAAAGGATTTTGCCATTTTGTATTTAGTTTAGCAACAGAAGTACTTAAAACATTGTATTGTTTCTGAATAGCTTTTCTTCAGATTTTTTTCTATTCATCTTTAAAGATACAGAAGATGAATTTAAAAAAAAAAATTTAAGAACATAGATTAGGTGGGGGGAAAAAAGGCCCCAAATAAATGTCTTCAGATGTATGCAAAAAGTTGTCACATGTGAAGAAATAGTTTGATCACCCTGGAAGCTATTCATTGGAGGAAACCATGACTAATGGCAAGTGTCCTCTACACAGGTACACACACACACACACACACACACACACACACACACACAATCCATTTTGTCCAAATTTGGAAGCCAGCTGAGGAGCAAATTGCTAGAGTGTTCTATCAAGGAAGCAAGATCTCTGTGATACGGGATAGGGTCCAAGGGGAGGAGGAGCAAGATGGAGGAGGAGTATGAGACCTAAATTTCATCTGGTCCCAGGAATTCAGCTAGATAGTTAAACCATTCTGAACACCTACAAACTTAACAGGAGGTCGAAGAAAAGAATACCAATTCTATGAACAGAAAAGCGACCACTTTCTGGAAGATAGGACGTGCAGAGAAATGAATCCGAGGCGATATTTGGAATGATAGATGACAGAGGGAGGGAGCCTCTGTCAGCTGGCTGCTAGAAAGGTGATAGAGCAGCAGAGCACAAAATTGGAACCTTTAGAAATCTCCGCTGAGGGATGTCACTCCAGTGGCTAAGCAGGAGGTGGAACCCTTGCTGGGACAGTGTGGTCTCAGGACCCTCGGGGTCACAGAAAGACTGGGAGTGCCTGAGTGTAGCAGAGCTCCCAGGTATTGGAGCGGGGAAGCCGGCTGCAAAGACAGAGCCAAGGAATGGGTTCTCAGCTCGGGGTTGCCATAAATGGTGATCCGCGGCACATTCAGGCCACTACTCTTTGAGCAGGGACCCAACAAGTGGCAGATCCGGGGAGACTGCCTTTTCTCCCCCAGGAGTGGCACAGGAGCACACCACAGGAATCTGCTGGGTTTGGAGACCAAACGGGATCATGTGCCAGAGAGAGAAATGCTCAGAGGCCAGGTGAGCACGGAGTGCGGCTGGAGACCGGAGAGATAGGAGTAATTGCTTTTCTCTGAGGGCTCGCCAAGGAGTGGGGCTCCGAGCTCTTGGCTCCTCTGGGGTGGAGATTGGGAGGCCACCATTTTCACTCTTGTCCTCCCAAGCCATACGGAAAGCTTCCAGGGAACAAAAGCTACCCAGAGCAAACCTGAGCCTATTACGTAGCCTGGCCCCTGGCAAGGGCAGGGCAATTCTGCCTCAGGCAAAGACATTTGAGAACCACTGAAACAGGCCCCTCCCCCAGAAGACCAGCAAGAACAGCCAAGACCAAGTTTACCAATCAATGAGAACTGCAGAACTCCAGCACTAGGGGAATACAACAATAGAATTCATGGCTTTTCCCCCATGATTCGTTGGTCTTTCAAAGTTAATTTTATAAATTTTATTTTTTTTTCTATTTTTTTAGTTAAATTTCTCTTTCCTTTTTCAACCAACATCTTAATTCCTTTTTAAAAATCTTTTTAAATTTTTCATTTTTATAATCAAATTCTATCTCTTCATTGTATTTAACCTTATTTTAATAAGTTTATCTTTAAAATTTTGGGATATAATATACCCAAAATATACCCTAAATCTAGTGTGTGACGTTGTCCTAGTCTCCCACCTGATCACATTCTTTTTAAAAATATTTTTACATTTTTTTCAACCAACTTATCAATTCCTTTTTTAAAATCTTTTTTAATTTCCATCTTTACAGTTATATTCCATCCCTTCATTGTATTTGCCCTTATATATGTTTTTCTATCTTTAAAACTTTGGGAGGCAATTTCTTCTAACCAAAATACACCCAAAATATGGTGTGTGTCTCTGTTAGTTTCACCAGCCTCATCATTTTATTTTCACCTTGGTTTCAGCTCTCTTCTGATTTGTTTACTGTATATTTTTCTGGGGTCAATGTTACCCTTTTAGCATTTTTTTAGCATTTTGTCCTCTCATTCATTTATTCTTCTCTGGACAAAATGACAAGACAGAAGAACTCACCTCCAAAAAAAGAGCAAGACGCAGTACAGGGACCTAATCAATACAGACATTAGTAAGATGTTGGAACTAGAGTTCAGAATGACAATTATAAAGATAATAGCTGGGCTTGAAAAAAGCATAGAAGATACTAGAGAATCTGTTTCTGGAGAAATAAAAATCTAACCAAGTCAAAAAAGGCTATTAATGAGGTGCAATAAAATATGGAGGCTCTAACTGCTAGGATAATTGAGGCAGACGAGAGAATTAGTGATATGGAAGACCAAATGATGGAGAATAAAGAAGCTGAGAAAAAGAGAGAAACTGGATCACGAGGGGAGAATTCAAGAGATAAGTAATACCATAAAGTGAAACATTAGAATAATTGGGATCCCAGAAGAAGAAGAAAGAGAGAGGGGCAGAAGGTATATCGGAGCAAATTATAGCAGAGAACGTCCCTAATTTGGAAATTAAGGAAACAGGCATTAAAATCCAGGAGACACAGAGAACCCACTTCAAAATCCATAAAAATAGATCAACACCCTGACAACTAATAGTAAAACTCAACAAGTCTCAGAGACAAAGAGAAAACCGAGAAAGCAGCTCGGGACAAGAGGTCTGTAACCTACAATGGTAGAAACAGTAGATTGGCAACAGACCTATCCACAGAGACCTGGCAGGCCAGAAAGGACTGGCATGACATATTCAGAGCACTAAATGAGAATAATATACAGCCAAGAATACTATATGCAGCTAGACAGTCATTGAAAATAGGAGAGAGAAAATCTTCCAGGACAAACAAAAACTAAAAGAACTTGCAAACACCAAACTAGCCCTACAAGAAATTTTGAAAGGAGTCCTCTAGGCAAAGAAAGAGCTTAATAGTAACATAGAGCAGAAAGGAACAGAAACAATATACAGTAACCTTATATGCAATAAAATGGTACTAAATTCATATCTTTCAATAGTTACCCTGAATGTAAATGGGCTAGTATCCCAATCAAAAGACACAGGGTATCAGATTGGATAAAAAAAAACAAGACCCATCAATATGCTGTC